AAAAAAAAATGAAAATATCAGTTCAAACTTCAAAATTCTCCAGATCAGTGGACTTTCAGCCAGTTCTAAGCTCTCTTTCAGCTGGTGAATTAGTAGAGCAGCTGGCTCCTAGAGAAATCCCCAGCTTTGCAGTTTTAAAGACATTGCAAGGCACGGTAGGGAGAAAAAAATGAATTAAAATCATTGCACACAAGGTGAAACTGTTGGTAACAATAACTTTATTTACGTGTCAATGAGATTTAGCATTGCTGCTAATTGGGGATACCTAGAAAGAGTTACAATCATTAGGGCTATGTACAAATTAAATTTTTACACTCATCTGCACCTTTTCTTTGTCCAATTTTTCTCTGTCACATGGGCAGTCAGGATTACGTCTCCTGTTGAAAAACAAGAACTATAAAAAACACATAGAAAATTCATGCAATAGCACCATACCGTATCTATTCAACAGATCTAGATCTGTTGCAAATTTATAGGCAGCTTGAACTTGGGTTACAAAAAATAATTATTAAACAATAATACTTGAGCTGTGTACCAAGTCAGCTTTGATAACTTATTTTGGCCATTAGGCAATTTTTTCTGGTTCATGAACTTGTATTAATTAACCTTTCAAATACCTGCAAACTAGGCATGTGAGGGACTATGAGAAACAGGTTTCAACTCTCACCAACCAGTGATGCAAGTCCCTAAAAAATTTGACTTCACTGTACTTAAGTAGGGCAACAAAGTTAATTCCTAAAGGTAGGTCACAAATTCAAATCCCAGCATGGTCAAAGTGATACAACAAATAATAATTGAAAAAAAACAACAACAAATAACAAAGTAAAGTGCAGCTCAAAAGGAAATCCATTACACTTGGATCAGCTGTGGTTTCAAGAAGACAACTGCAAATTCATTTCCACCATTTTCATCATGTTTGGAGTTCACAGATGTATTTAGCATGCGCAGTTTACAAATACGCAAGCCATGTAGTATTTTAATAGCCCCCAAAAGTAAATTATTTGGTTTGGTAATGTGCAATCAACTTCTGGTGTTGTAAACCACTTCCAGTGTTGTAAACTACATTGTAGTGAAGAAAGATGTAAAGCCCAAAATGTTTCTGTAAGTTGTTTCTGACTTGTTATTTTGTCGATGATTGTAAAAGATACACAGGCTATGATAAAATGACTCATCAAAACCATTACAGACAAATTTTTTCAAACATTTTAT